AAAAAAAAAAAAAAAAGTCAGTCACGTACCCAGTCCTTATATAACTTAAAAACTGGGAGGTACAAGAGACTACAGGAATAATTATACCAATATAGTGAAATGGACATACTGAGATTAAAAAATAAATAAATAAGTGAAAAGTTAGCTCCTCCTCCGTGTCTATGGTCAAAAGATGTAGATTTACGTCTGCCATCTATCTGGGAAGTGCTCTTCTTATAGAGATACTCAAACCAGTGCTAGGAAAGTACAGAGAAGGAAAAATAATTGCTTGAAAGACTCAGGCAAGACTTCACAGAAGTAATAAAACTGGGGAGAGAGAGACAAAGGACATTTTTCAGGGGAATAAAAAAAAATTTGCTCTATGGAATTTGTCAAAGCATTCTGGGAAACTCAAAATTGACTTGAACTTTTCTAAATACCATAAATACTTACAAATTCTGAAAGAAAAATTTGTATAAAAAACATACGGGCCGTAATTAAGCCACCAAAATCATTTCATTTTAACTTCTCTTTTAAATATAATTCTTATATAAATTTTATACTACAGATTAATGCTGATTTAGCTGCATGTCACTTTTACATATTTCGCCTGTGGTCAGTTTTGACCAAACAGCAAAAACACCACACCCCATTTCTATTCCTCTTCTCTTGAGACTAATAGCCAATTCCACTTCATAATATATTTAAAGCATTCAGAAGTCAAAATGTGTGGCATTTTCCATCTTGCCAATTCCATGTTAAGTCAAAGGCATATTACCAGGCCAACAAACCCAAAATTAGACAAAGGCAATCCATTGGGATAAGAAATTTGCCAAATCTCATAATTCAAAAAGAAACTGCTAAAGATGGTTGTGGGGGTTTTGGCACTGTGAGTTTAAGCTTTTCCATAATAAGGCTTGTATTTCATCTAATCAGCTAGTCGGAAACTATATGTCTTATTGGTGGGGGGGAATTAAAATTTGGATTGTAATGCACGAGTCTTTCCTTCCCTTCCATATGTTTCAGTAAATTAAAACTTCTAAATCCTGTTTTTTTAAAGAAATGCCTTCTAGAAAATAAAGCAGCCTGTAAAATCATATTTTTGGTACAGGAACCTTAAAATATTCAGGCTTGAAATGAAGAAGAAAAAAAGAACACATGGTTTCTATATCCAAAGCAGTGTCATGGTCTAGGTATATTCAGAATTAAGTACATTTGCGCTTTCATCTTTTTTTCTTTGCTAAATGACTTTAAAAAAAAAAAATCAGGCATCTTAAACTTTTATAGATTTTTTTGAAGATGGCCATTTATCAATCTAATTAAAAATGTTTCCATTTGAATTCCATAAGAATATCTCAAAGACAGCAGTTGTAGTAAGAGGTAGATAGGAATTCTGTTCTTAAGTGCAACTATGTGAATTATCATCCTGTTAGAATAGGAAATGAAAAGATTTTTATATGGTAAAACAAATTTTTTTCCAATAGTGATCCTGTTAATGACAGAAATAGCAACTTATACCATCCAATTCTGAGTAAAGTTCTCCTTTCCCTTTGTTCTTTCTCTATTGGGCCTTCATATTAGCTTCTTTCATCTCTTCTTTCATATTCTTTATTGCTTCATTTTTTTGTACATGGAAAGATTTCCCCATCTTTATTTTATTTTATTTTGTATCTCTATACCCAATGTGGGGCTTGAACTCACAACCCCAAGATCGAGTCCCATGTTCTACCGACTGAGCCAGCTAGGTGCCCATGTTCTCCTATCTTTTAAATGAAAATTGTTTGCCATCATCTTTTTAATTACTAAAAGCTGTTTCCTGTTTTTTTTTCATTATTTATGTTTTTATGGCATCCTATTTTATAAAAAACGCTATGTTACCATTTCTAAGACTTTATTTTTATTTATCTATTTTAAAGATTTTATTTATTTATTTTACGGAAAGAGAGCACAAGCAGAGGCAGCGGCACGCAGAGGGAGAAGCAGGCCCTCCACAGAGCAGGGAGCCCAATTCGGGGCTCGATCCCAGGATCCTGAGTTCATGATCTGAGCTGAAGGCAGAGGCTTAACTAACTGAGCCACCCATGCATTCTTCCATTTCTAAGGATTTAAAAAAAAAAAAAAAAAATTTCTTCTCTTTCCTCCAGTTTCCTTCTCCTAATAATTTGCTTCAGTTCCAATATTTTACAGTTGAAGTTTTCTAAATATGATTGACAATCCTTGTTTGCCCACTGTTGTTTAAAAGCTATTTAATAAAAGCTGAATGGAGTTCCTTAGCTATAGGTGTGCTTCCCAGATGGCAAAGATTCACTTTGGTGCATCTGGTTTGGGCGCTAGCCATTTATAGGTGGTCTCCAAATGTAGGTATATGGATTTCTTTTCTCTATAGTGATTCCGTTTCTCCAGATAAGAATTCAAACAATTTCTTGGGCAGTGGGGTGTGTGTGTGCATGTGTGTGTGTGTGTATGTGTGTGTGTGTGTGTGTGTGTGTGTGTACAGTGCTGGGTGAGTGAAAACTCTGGTATTGCTGATATTCCGCTTGTGGTGGGGGAGGGGTACTGACAATCTGGGTACTCCACTGGAAGACACTGAATCAATCTTTTTAGTCCTCTTTGCATTTCACCTTTGATTGTGCAAGCTGTCCTAATGATGAACCTCTCTTTTTCAACTGCTGTACCACTATAAGCCTTTTCCCTGCCTTGGACATTGAGTACCTGGTTACTGACATTGCACACATAGGAGAGACCTGACTGTTCAAGACACAGATGACAGCTGATTATCCCATTTAATAAAGATTCCTTAACTCACTGTCTTCCATGCAAACTGCCTTCAAGTCTTGAGTCTCTCTGGGTTTCTTTCTGAGTACGTAAGACCTCTTTTCATCGTTATCCCAAAGTCTCTTCAGATGGTGGACTCTGTTCTGACAAACCAATTTCCACTTTCTGACTTCCAAAAATCAGCTTAAATTTCATTTCCCCCACCATTCTCATTGTTCCTGTGGGGCTATTTCTTCTCAATATTTTATTCAATATTATAAATATTTATTATAATATTTAATATGATTCTTTACCCCCATGATCACCATTTCTTTGTTCACCCTTCTTTTTGCAACATACTCAGCAACTCCTTCCAGATTTGGGTTCTTTTGAAGGACATCTTCAGTAACTTCTTTAGCAAGATTTTTTAGTGGCCTGATTTTTATTTAATTTCTTGGTCTAGGAATTTCATCATCATGCAAGTAAATTCAAAACTCAAAACCTGACAAAAGGAGGGCAGTAGTACAAACTCATTCCTTCTCCATTCAAATCCGATGCTGAGATAGGCAAACCTTCATGCTGCCTTCTGATATCAGTAGGCAAACTTATTTTAGATTATTCTTTCACTGAAGGTGTGAATTTTCCTCCTTTATTTAGGTATCTAATCCCTGGCCTTCCATTGGTCCAAAGCTTTGTCTCTTATTCCAGAAAAATGAAAAACAAACAAAAAGTCTATTCCCTCCTGTTACTGCAACTGGTAATCCCAAATCAGCTGAAAATCAGCCACTGTTTACTGTTCTGGCATTCAGTTACCCCTCACTGCTAGCCCCTAGGAAATTGTCTCACTACTTTTTGAGCTCACTTATGCATAAAGAGTGTATCTATTTTATTAAGCATATCTTAATGTATTTTAGTAGTGTATTTTCTGGCTACTCAGTCTGCCTACATAATTTCATTAATAGCATTTTAGTGGTCTCTTCAAATGGCTACGTAATAATTTTAGGTGTTTAGTCTACCATCTTTGGTAGAAAATAAAATATTATTTCTTCTACATAATTATAAGATACTTTTCTATAAATTCATGCCAGAATTAGTCTCCTGACCTTCTGCTCTATGCTTTTTTAGGAGTCATTTATTTTTATTAATATTGAAGAGAGATTAGGTGATATAACTAAAACAGCACAGATAATAGATTCAGTTTAGGATTGGAGGCTAGTTCCACTACTTATTATTATCTGGATAAACTCAGAAAAATTTCCTTAAATAGTTTGAACAATTCCCCTCTAGTGTAAAATAAGACATTAAGATTACTTTGTAACACATAAAATTATAATTTTTCTAAGTCACCATAGTAGAATACCGGCAACTTCTTATGCTTCAAAGTAACACCATATCCACGAGAATGTGGCCTCCAAGGTTGCTTGTCACATAGTGGGTGGCCAAATGATGGCTCTGCTGCTCTCATGGAATGATTTCTAATCAGTAGGAATTCCAGGTGACACTAATTGACACACATGCAAAGCCTTACATAATGCTGGCTCTTTGGAAAGAATCAGACCTTGTTCCACAGTGTAGCCAATTTGGGGCTAATGGTGGTTTACAGAACATAATCTTTACACAAATATTGTTATTGTGACAAATTCATTATGTAATCCATATTTGGGATTCACCATTTCTATTTTTCCATTAAGTTACATCAAGGATCATGACATACCACATTTTATCGATGGCAAACCCTACAGAAACACATTTGTCTACAGGTTCTACACAGAATTCTGACAGTGGTAACCATCTGACAGTGGTTACCTCCTAAGAGTCGGAGTTAACTGACTGAGACCCAGGACCTTAAACTCTATCCACCTCAGTCTGCATGGAGAAAACCAGCTTCTGAAGGGTGAGGAAGGAAGGTAGTTACTCACTGTTAGAGCCAGCAGTTTCCCATAGGTAAGGTGAGCAGGGATGTGGTCAGTCTTGGCTCTCAATGATTCCATATACCAATGCTCTGCTTCAGGGAGTTTGCTTAATCGCATGTATGCTTCACCTGGAAAGAAAGTCATGAACATTAACCTGAGGATATAGCTTTCCAATAGCTGCAATGGAGTCACATCATGTTTCCCTTCCATAAAATGTCAGATGTTCTGGCATGGACTTTCACCCATTATCTCATCTGATTCCCAAAAAGTCATCAGAATTTCCATTTTTCAAATAGGAAAACTTGTGTTTGGAGAGATTAAGTGAAATGGCTAAATTTAAAAATTTAGTAACTAATAAAGCTTTGGTTTTTAACCACAAGCATAGGCTCTTTGTCTTTTTCTTTTTCCTAAAGATAGGTTTGGGGGTGCCTGAGTGGCTCAGCTGATTGAGCGTCCAATTCTTGATTTCAGCTCAGGTCATGATCCCAGGGTTGTGAGAATGGGCCCCGCACTGGGCTCTGTGCTCAGCTTGGAGGGGGCAGTCCGCTTGAGATGCTCTTCCTCTCTCTGCCTCTCCCCCCGCCACATGCTCTGGTTCTCTGAAATAAATCTTTTTAAAAAAAGATAAGTTTGTTCTTTCTTATGTACAGTTGTTCTTTTTAATTCACATTTGTTCCTTTAGAAACTCAAGTATTTAAGTATTCAAGTATTTTTTATCCTCATTTATTCCTTCAGAAATTCAAGTATTTATAGAATAAATACTAAGTAGAGAGAAGTATGAAGACCTAGACAAAGAGAATAAGGTCCTGCCAAGATTTACAACATTGTTGAGAAAATAAGATTAGTTGGAGGAGTGAGAAATATTTTGTATTAAGTATTGGTGCTAGATTTTTTTCAGAAATCATTTGTAGGTTATATTTTAATAAAATTTCTGAGTATCACTTGGAAAATCCAGTGAATATATGATAATTATTCAGCATGCCCAGTACTATATACAAAGCTAGTCTGAAGCCTTTCAGCCATCCGTTATTATTTCCAAGTTATGCAAATGTTACCTGTCAAAGATCATTCCACTAACACAAGCAAGAGAAAAACAAAAACTAAAAAACTGGAAATAAAGCCAAAAGTCTATCAGTTCTCTACTTATTATTACCCTTCTCCCTTATTTGCTTATAGTACAGAAGAATATTTACCTGATGAGAATATTATATTTTAAGTTGATTTGTGTATTTAAGCTAAGCATTATAGTTTTAATAACCACTGCAAATATAGACGGTACCTCAATTTCTAAGAACAGGTAATAGACTGGTAACCTGAATTATTTGCCAAGCAGACCATTTATAGCTTAACTAATCATAATGATGACAGCTTACTCCATTTAGAGGCATAATCAGAGGCTTTTCCTAAATATATTACCCACATTGGCTATACATCTTTGCTTCAAAGGGAGAACTAGCTTCCTTTTATTTAAATCATTTTCTCTTTGTTTTACCACAGTGCTGTCAATACAGATATGTTTGATGTACTGTTGATTTGAGTCTCCTGACCTTTTGAGTGCCCTTTGCTTGGCTCGTTAGTAAAAAATACTGGTGACAAATTTGTAATATGCACGAAATTGTACATACTACTCAAACACATCAATGTATTTCTAGTTCTTGGAACAGTTCTTAAACTCTACTGTCATGAAAATGATAGTTGGAAATGTTTTCCTTTAATCTAAAACTTAAAATATGTTTGCATTTAAGAATTTGATTAGATTAAACAGAGTACTTGTGTGCATGGCAAGAAATACTGAAGCAAAGACCAAAAAAATGGAATACACAATAATGCTCACCGTGGTGGTAGGATTAGTCTTGAATTTTTTTTTTATTTTCGCATTTCTGTAATTTTGTATTGCTATTAAAATATCTCTATAAAAATGAAAACACTGTCAAATAGATTTTTTTCTTTTTTGCCATGTTGAGCTTACGAATGTTTCCCCAAAAAACCAAACAGTAATTTTTTTTTCCTTTTTTTTAGGAAAAGCAAACCATTTCTTCATACTACAAAAATACTAAGTATGATTTATGTAACAAAAATGCAATAACCCCTAAAGTATTGATAAATTTAAAGCAACTAATGGCAAGTTATACCTAAATATTGATCTCTACAGTGGATTCTAAAGCCAGTAGAAAACACAGACTAAAGTCAGAGTTAGAATTAAAAGATGGGAGGGATTAGAGATTCTGTCTGGAATCAGCCTGAAATGCCCGTTTGGGTCTTCAAGTGCTCCCAGGTCAGCTTATAGAAGCTGTACCATCATTACCGTTAACATAACTTCTACTTTTCATTTCTAAAAATTCAGCTAATTTGTAGAATAGGAAACAGTAAGTATTCTGTACAAAAAAAGGTGAGAGAACCCCAATTCCATAGTGTTTTGAGACTGAAATGTGTATATTTAAGTTGTTGTCTGAAGATCATTTCACAAAGTGTTCTATTTTTCCCAAGTCATAAATCTATTATTAAAAGCTATTTTGAGATGAAATACTAACTTGCTAAATAATTAGTGGCTGGCTCATTTTCTTCAGTAATAATCCACATTTGAAAAACTTGTAAGATGGGGAAATATGAAAGGGCTATAAGAAATATAATGTAATAATGCCTCGTGGCAGTATATGAAAAATGTAAATGACCAGCCTACTTAGGTACTACCCATTACCTCTCAGAAACACTTCACGTAATCATTCACTGTATCTCAGTAATAACCATGATAATCGTTCACTGAATGTTTATTATGAGTTAGGGTAGCAAGCCATAGGGGGCGCATGCCTGACTTATGAGCACCTACTCCTCTCAATCTCTATCTTCGGACGTGTAGAATGTTCTCTCACTCAGCCCCACGAGGAGCCTTCATACATTACTCCCATTCAACTACCACTAACTAACTGTTCAGATTTGGTTTGCAAGATGAAATGATTTCCAATCTCTATATTAGTTGCTTTATACACGAATCTCATTTTTTATTAGTGAATGTCTTTCCCTGGGTTTTACAGATGAGAACATTCAGAACCTGGGTGGCTGAATAAAACCAAGTCCTAAAGGTTGAAAGTGGTAAAGCTGGAATTCAAACCGAGGATGACCTGACCTCCAAGCACGCTGCTTTAACCTGCTGTAGGGAACAATCACAAACTTGTCAATTTCCTGGCTCAGGGGAAAAGTATACTCTTTCTCACTCCTGGAAAATTGTTTTCTAGCTTGTGATACATTGCCCATCAAGATCATTTCACTGTGCCTTGGCCTTATCTACAGAATTAAAGGAATAAAGAAGAACAATAATAATCTATAGATGACCTTTAAAAATACTTATGCTGCATATGTTACTCAACTGTTAAAGAGGAGAATATGGATCCTAGGAGATGCACTTGAATTCTACGGCTAATCTTAACACAAAAGCAGCCTATAAAAGTGGTAATGAAATCAAGATGCAAACCTTAAAATGCAAGAAAAAGATAATGGATGAATTTAAATATGTTTTAAAAGTGACTCAATAGGGGTGCCTGGGTGGCTTAGTGGGTTAAGTCCTCTGCCTTTGGCTCAGGTCATGATCCCAGGGTCCTGGGATTGACCCCCAGGGTCGTCGGGCTTTCTGCTCAGCGGGGAGCCTGCTTCCCCCTCTCTCTCTGCCTGCCTCTCTGCCTACTTGTAATCTCTGTCTGTCAAATAAATAAATAAAATCTTAAAAAAAAAAGTGACTCAATAGAAATGTAGAGAACAAACAATATATTGACAAGAACTAGATACGCACCTACCACTGAAAATGTAGAAGCGTCACATTTCTCACTTTTAATTCGTACTAGGGATTAGAGGTCCCATTTTATGGATGAGGAGGAAGGCTCAGGAACTACAAATGACTTGCTCAAGGACAGTTAATAACCCTATTCTAAAAGTTTGAACGGCTCTAAAGCTCATGTTTTTCTCCAAGGCATCAAGCTGCCTACCATACAAACCTGATTATTTATCAAATACCTACTAATGTCTTAAACATATTTATACTTTATTATTCCCTACGCTGTAATTAACATCAGTCTCATTTCACAAATGACGAGACCGTGGCTCACTGAGATTAAGCAACTTGTTCAAGGTTCAAAACTAAACAAATGCCAGATTCAGGATTCAGATCAGGGTTCTCTCTAGCTCCTTCTACTGTACCATTCTGTCCAAATACTATTAAAAAAAATAGAGAGGAGATAAAATAACTGCAAAAAGTGTCATCAGTGGATTCAGTTTTAGAAGAGAAGGATATATATGTAATCCTTCAAGCTTGATTAAAATATTAAAATCATAAAAATCCTATGAAGAAATGGCCATAAGAAAAGAAAATGTTACATTCAATAAAGAAGGAAGTGAAAAAACTTGATCAGGAATAGAGTGGGGGGAGTGGCCTTAATTTAAGTCATCTTCTCTGGTGCGGTAATTCTTCTTAACTTAGAATAATAGAAAAAAATGTTTATAGCACCCAGGAGGAAAGAAGCAATGATGACTATTTTTCCTTCTCATCCTGAAAAAAAAAAAAAAAATGACATAATAGAGGCACTTTTATAAGAATGAGAAGATTTGCTGTGATGATGTAGTGATCAGGTTCATCACCCAGATTTATTTCCGATTCACTTGCAGACAAAAGGGATTTGGATATCTCCAGGCTGGCTTCAAGCAGATATAAACCAGTTTCAGATGTAGAACAAATAATGTCACTCTTCCCTCCCTAAAAAGCCCTAGGTCTAAACAACGCAGGAAAAAGCTAACTCCTTAAAGGGAAGAATGCTGGATTATTGATGATGTAATAGCCCAGATCTCACCGATTCTCATGTTTCAAGTTACTGGACAGCTCTGGCTTGCAGATAAAGAATAGAGTATGTAATGGGACATACCACCCATACCGGCTAGAGTTACCTTCTGTTTCTCCTGTCCCTGCTCAGTAGTATATTTCCGTGTGAAGACTCAGTTTAGATTCTCTATTTTTTTTTTTTTTCTGGCCATTTTACTGAGATATAATTAACATACAACCCTGTCTAAGTTTAAGGTGGAGAGCACAATGGCTTGATTTCGTATGCTGTGAAATGATCACCACAATGAGTTCAGTTAACATTCA